ATTGCTATAAATCCACAGTGTTTGATTTCACCCCTGAGAGCCCCCTCAGGTCCACAGGGCTTCCATTCTACTGCATAAGGTGGGTTGGGTTACCCATCATATTAACAGCATTCTTTGGGGGGGGGGTGCAATTCTAATTTAAAGAGGAAATAGCCATTACTAGGAAAGTAGCAAACAGTTATAAGAACTTCTACGTGCCAGGCATTGTGTTAAACCAACATGTGCTTTCTCATTTAATCCTCTTCACAAACGTATGACGTAGTAGGTATTGTTGTCAGCCCCATTCACGGATGAGGAAACTGAGGCTAGAAGCATTACAGCTTGCCTAGGAATCCCTGTCCCAGAATCCAAGTTATGCTGATATTTCTTAAATACTTACTATATGCCAGGTTTACCCTTGTCCATTCATATATGCATTGGACATTATGAAATTAAAAATCCAGTCCCATAGTCACATTAGCCACGTTTTGCACCAGTCTGGTGACTACTGTGCTGGAAGGTGCAGATCTGGAGTCATCTCCATCATTACAGAGAGTCCTTCCCGTCAGGGCTGGTCCGGATACTATATACTGATGTATATAGTAGTATCTGGAATTACAGGGAAGGACTCTGAGGTCCACAGACGGATACTTCCCCAAGCTCCCACAGCCTCAAGCCTGGACCTCAAGTCAGTCTGACTTTGAAATCCCCACTCTTTTGTCCACCAGGCTCTACTTTCCACCCTGTAGGAAGCAGTGAGATAATCAATCAACAGAGAGTCCCGATTTGATGGTCTGTTAGAAAAAAAAAAATCATAATTTTCTGGGACACCTGGGTGGCTCAGTCGGTTGAGCATCTGACTTCAACTCAAGTCATGATCTCGCCGTTTGTGAGTTCGAGCCCCACAATAGGGCTCACTGCGGTCAGACTGCCAGCACGGAGTCCACTTTGGATCTTCTGCCCCCCTCTCTCTGCCCCTGCCCTGCTTGTGCTCTCCCAAAACTAAATAAATATTTTTAAAAAATCATAATTTTCTTAAAAGGGGTTTTTGAGGAATATTAGCTAGTGGAAATAAACCAAAGCACAGGAATTTTAGGGTGAATATGAGCTGTTGCTGTTTTGTTCGCTGTGTTGCTTTCTCTGCAGAATTATCATTGCCTTACCCTGGGCTGACACAGACTCCCAGAGCTTTCCAGGTCTTCAGGGATAATGCTTTACAGGACACAGTTAAAAGGATGGCTCCCTGGACGGACAAGGAAATGGGGTGGGGAGGGGCGGGGGAAGAATTCTTTTGCCAACATAAGCAAAGCCAGTATTCATTTGTAAAACATCTCGAACAGACCTTTTCTACCGGAGAGACTTTTCTGTCTTGAATCTGAAGCCGCCAAGCTCTGCATGGGCAACAGACATCTCATTTTTGTTTACTTTTCACTTGGAATGGACTGGTTAAAACATAATCCAAAAGCAGAAATGAAAGAAAGATGCTTGGAGCCTCGAGCAGAGATCTTTTATGCTGCCAAGTGAGGCTAGACGTATACGCTTTGAAGACCAGCCTGTGGGAAGACAGAGTTAATGTTCTGCTGTGACCATCGAGGAGTTGAATCCGGACCCTCTCTGGCCTATGTGCCACCCACTCCTAGGCCTGCGGGATCTTCCTGACAGCTGTCCTCACTCCAGCAGGCTCAGTTTGATGGGCTGTGAGCAGCGGCTCTTAGAATGTAGAGCTTCTGCAGACCTATCAAATCAGAGTCCCGGGGGCGGGATTGGGTATCACTATGTGTAAAACCCCCCAGGGAACTCCAAGAAGCAGCTAAGATTAAGCCAGGGGCCATGAGCGTGGCCCCCATGAATTCCAGATCCAGCTCTCTCCCTCATCGACGTGGGTGCCGGGCGTCAAGGGAGTTAGAATGGCTCCTACCCGCTTTCCTCAATGGCACATCCTTGGCTGACGGTGCAATGGGAGAAGCCCGTGGGAATTGAGGCGGGGCCTGATGCTCTGACCCCCCCACACCCATTAATTAGGTCAGTGTGTCTGGCGCTGGGGGTGGGCTCTGTCCTTCTTCCATAACGTGAGAGGTTGGGCTGACGGGTCCTCAACAACCTTCCTGTTTTCAGGTGATGTGATACCATTAAGAGGGACCACAGAGAGGGAGACACAGGAATCGAGAAAGGGACATGTAAATAAAGAAGAAATCCACCCATATCACAGTCTAATCGGGTGAATCCAGCCATTGCTGGATACACAAGGAAGACATGCAGGGGGTGCTTGTGGCGTTTTACGGATGGTGAAAAATGCTTTGTCATGGAACATTTTGTGGCCTTGCTGCAAGGCCGTGGGTTCAGCGATCTGCAGAGATGGGCCCGAGACAGCTGGGACCTTCAGTGCCCCGCAGGCATCGACCTGTGTCCTCCACTGGACCTCCTTTTCCTCTTCAGCCAGTGGAGCATTATCTACCCTGAGCTGCTGTGGAAACACCTCTTGTGCACAACACCGATGGTGTCAGCAGAGATCAACATGAAACAGCCAAACGTATAAACCACCCCAGTCAAGGCTGGCTGCGGAGCGCCCTTGTTGGATGCCAAGGTGACCACAGGGAGGCAGTATAGCCCAAGGTTCTTAATGGCTCCGAAGGGCCTTCCTTCCAGTGGTTCCTCTGAAAAGACTTTTAAGTGTTTGGAACACCAGTTACCACCATAAGAAAAAGAAACGGAACCACAATGACACAGAACTTACAATCAAATTAAAGTAGTAACAATATGAAGCCCAAAATAAAAATACTTATAGAAAAAACTGAAGGCATGAGGAGTCTGAGGGGCTCAAGTCAGTTGAGCCGCCAACTCTTGATTTCGGCTCTCATGATCCCAGGGTGGTGGGACCGAGCCCCGCGTTGAGCCCTGTGCTGGGCATGGAGCCTGCTTAAGATTCTCTCTCTCCCTCTGCCCCTCCCCATATGCGCTCACTCTCTCTGTCTCTCTATCTAAAAAGAAAAAAAAAAAAACACTAGAAAATATGGCACCATTGTAACATCTACCTACAGAAATATTAAAGTTTGACTGTGTTTCAGAAAAATACCAAGCAGGACTTTCGTAGTGAGTTTTACTTAAAAGCAAGAGCTCTGGGAATGCGTTCCTGTTTCTGCCTGGGTGCAGCCACAGGTTGGGGGAGCTCTCCACGCCCTCAGGGTAAGCAGAGGGGTGGCCTGGACTAGCTGTGAGGGAGAGGAGTCAGGATGTTCACAGTCACCCCCCTTGCTCACAGCTCCACACCTCCTGTGCCTTCATCAGAAAGTCAACAATGAAAAGCCGATGTTCGATTAAGGAATCTGTCTTGCCCTTAGATAGGAAATCAATGACTTGATTTAATCACAACAGTGGAAGGCTGTTAGCCTTTTAGCTAGAGGTATTTAGAACCTTGGAATACAAGTGTGAACAGAATCGTAATTTTTGAATTTGCACATTTTCCCTCCCTGCTAAGGGTGTTTGCTTTGCTTGGGCTATATCCATGGCACATACGTGACTCCCTAGGTTGCAGAGGCCCCTGGGCCAGGGAGCCGGGCGTCTTCACCCAGGACATGACAAGTGGAGTCCGAACCCGATAGCCATGATGAGTTCAAGCCGGGTTGTCAATCTAAGGACTGGGGCAGAGGAGGGCCTCAGAAAGTAAGGGGCGCAGGGAGGATGGGAGTGTGCTCTCGACCCTTCCTCTACTCCGACTCAGTCCCCTCCCTCCCTTCCTTGGGTCATGCCTCCTGTTGACTAGGAGGTGGAAGGCAGTCCTTCCGGTTGTGAGGGGAAAGCCCTTGCCTTCTGCCCATTCCCCAGATCTCCAAGCAGGACAGTGACCTACCTGGTCTGGAAGGTGAGAATCCGAACACCAGCCTACCCCAGACTGTAAATGTGACCTGGGCCAGTCGCCTCTTCCCAGAGCACCTGTCCTCTCTGGGGACAAGAGACACGGGCACAGAAATCCAGATGTCAAGGACAACCCCATGGTCATCACTGTAATCACAGGCAAGGTTTTAGAAGAGATTTGAAATGAAAGAAAAGCAACCTTTATAGAAGCCAGGTTCTCATGTGTCATGTGTCTGCAATTTGAGATTACAGAGCAATGACCAGACTGTGACATTGTATGTTTGCTTCATTTTCTTTTTGTAAGTTTTTTTTTAAGTTTAGTTATTTTAAGAGAGAAAGAGAGCACGCACTCGTGCACATGTGAGCAGGGTAGGAGCAGAGAGAGAGAGGAGAGGGAGAGAGAGTGAGAGAGAATCTCCAGCAGGCTCCACTCCATCAGCACAGAGCCCGACTCGGGGCTTGAATTCACGAACCATGAGATCATGACCTGAGCCAAAATCAACAGTCAGATGCTTAACCAACTGAGCTACCCAGGCGCTGGCTCAGTTTCAAACTATGTCTTCCTCATTTTCAAACACAGCTGGCAGGAGCTTACACAACACATCAATTTTCTTTTCTTTTCTTTTTTTCAAAATGTGTCATTTTTTTGGTTCCAGGAATAGAATTAGATTAGAAACTTGGAAGTTTTCAGTATCCTTTGCTCAGAAACGCCACCCTTAGAAGCAACATCTTTAAACAAATTATTCTGATAATTTGACCCAGGAAGGGGGACAACTTTTAAAAAATATTTCAAAAGTATAGTTCTCTGCATATGTATGAATGGAATTTTCCAAAACAGTTACTTACAAAATGCTTTCACAGCTTTGTTTTTTTTGTTTTTGTCTTTGTTTTTTAAAACTTTCTAATGTTTATTTAATTTTGAGGGAGAGAGACTGAGCAGGAATGAAGGAGGGGGCAGAGAGAGGGAGACACAGAACCCAAAGCGGGCTCCAGGCTCTGAGCTGTCGGCACAGAGCCTGACACAGGGCTCGAACCCATGAACTGCGAGATCATGAGCTGAGCCGAAGTCGTCTGCTTAACCAACTGAGCCACCCAGGGGCCTGGCTTTCACGGTTTTGAAAGCTATTCTCTAAATGAGCACTTGACTGAAAGAGTGGGAATACAGTCAGTTATTTTACAGTGTGGTTTTTATTAGGTAAGGGTTTTCTTACAAGCAATTTGTAAATTTGTATATACATAAGATATACCATATCATACATGATATACATACATATACAAAGATATCAGAGTGTCTTTGAGTTGACCCAGAGGCTAGGGTCATATGATATTTATACCCTTGAAACAACCTTAAGAGCACTTCCGGTTGCTCCCCATTGACACCCATGCTCTCAAGGTCATATCTCAGAGCTGAGAAAAATCAGTAGCACCTCTTATTATTCTGATACCTTAGTCTCTTGAGTGAGTCTCACTGCTCTTATGTTTCCTCACCTAATCTTTCCCAAATGGTCTTAGCTGCTCCCCAAATTCAAAACAATCTTGGGCATGTACCAAACAAGTAGCAACTGCCAAACATGAAATCATGACCTTCTCTTTGAAAGGAACAGATCCCTTAGTGTTCGGGGTTGCGATGTGTCCAGAGAAGGCATCGAAAGGAGTGTCCCAAGCCACCACACTCAGCCTGAAACAGAAAGTTCCATAAAACTGTGTTTCTTGGAGGTGAGTCAGCTGGAGGCGGCCTGTTTCCAAATGAATCTGGCTGTTCCTTCTGCCTTCTGCCCACTGAGACTTAACTCTAGTGTGTTCCAGGTGGGCAGAAACTTAGTCATCCTGGCTTCCCTCCCATCTCCGGGGCTTCTTTGCTTAATGCTTGTAAAGCCCTGCGTGCTCATTACCTACACAATCAGTCCTCACCTGGATGTCACATCTGATGTGAAAGTGCTCCTGCCCTCAGACCCACGTGTTTCCTAAACCTAGTGTTTCCAAGTCTCCTGGAGATGCCCTACTGTTGGGGCTGTGACGGAATGGACAACTCCGAAGGCAGGAGCAGCCACCGAGGGGCAGTTCTGCTTCTGTCAACAGAAGGCTGTGTTCAAGCCTGCACAACCAGACCCTTCCTCTTCAACCAGCCCCTCCTGGTTTTGATGCAAACCTTGTCCCCTTTCCATGCCTGAGGACTTCCTTAAGGGGGTCTCCAGTCTGCGTGCTTGAAGCCTAGAGGTTCCCTCTGCCTCCCCACGGCTCCTCACCTCCAACCCCTGTCCACCCCAAGTCCTGCTGTCTCTCTCCCTACATGCGGAGAAGGTGCCACCATCCCTGGTGTCTGGACCTGCATGGAAGACTCCTTGCCTCACCTGACCTAAAAGTTCGTCTTTCTAGGCCACCCTTCTGCCGTGCAATGAGCTCTCTGCTGCGGTGCCTGGGAGTCTCCCGGCTCTGCTCTGGCTTTGACAAGCAGTGCTGTGCACGCTTCCCACGGTCCAGGCTCACTCATCCTTTCCCCGGCCACTGCTGACCTCCCACCGCAGAGCCACCCCGCACATGTGCGGGGTCTGCAGCCTGGCCCTCAGCCTTCCTCCCACCACTCCCCTTCTCCCTGAAGAAGCCTTCCCAGCTCTCACCCCATTTTGATCGCCTGTGGAACTTACCAACCACACCTTGGCGGGGAGATCACTCTTGGAAGGGCTCATTTCTTAACGTATCATCCCAAGCACCTGCTTTCAGCACACTTACAACCGGCACCTGTGGCCTCGAGCAGGTCAGACACTGTACAATATGCATCCTGATTACTTTTATTGTTCTTGTCTAGGTAACCAAGCTCAAGAATTAGGAGTTCCCTGAGGATCTTTTTTTTTTTTTTTTATAGTAAACTTTTGCAGCAAAGGGGGAGTTTGTCAATAAATTGTCATATGCAGGGCAGGGGGGCGGGGGGAAGGGAGGAGGTTTGCCCTATCATCGACATGTATTGATTCGGCTTTCTGGAAGTGACAGTCTCGAGTGATATGATATACTCAGATGCCAGACGCATGGATGGCTCTTAGACCCTCTATGACAGTCACTTCCTTTTTAAAAGAATTGCTCCCGCCCCCAGGCTGTGTACAAACACCTGGTCCAGGTCACAAGCCAACAGAGATTTCCTGCTCTCCAGTGGATCGGGTGTAAACTGAGCTTGCTCTGTCGGGGGTCTCTCCTTGGAAGAAAGGACAGTGTTTGCAGAAGTGCCTGACAATGTGCTTTCGGAAAAACTGGAAGAGGTAGCTTCTGAACTTCTCCCCAACGAAGGCGTAGATGATGGGGTTGATGCAGCAATGTGTCATGCCCAGAGTCTCCGTCACCTGCATGGCTTGGTCCAGCCTGTTGGAACTACTGCAATTATTGAGGCCAAAGGAATCCGGGAAGGTGCTCAGGAGGAGGACGATGTTGTTGGGGGCCCAGAAAAGAAAGTAAACAATCATGATCACGAAAATGAGCTTCACGGCCTTGTGCTTCTTCTCACTCCGACACCGGAGGATGGTCTCGAGGATGGCTGAGTAGCAGATGATCATGACGAGGAGGGGCAGGACCAGGCCCAAGAGATTCATCTTCAATGTCTGGAAGTTCTTCCAGAAGCGATAATGATTGGGTGGAAAATGAGGGCTACACGTAAAACGCGAACCCTCTTTTTGGGATCTGCTAAAGATGATCCCTGGGACAGAGACCAGCACAGCCAGTACCCAGGTGACTGCGCTTGTCACCACCCCAAAGAGGACTGTCCTGGCCTTTAAAGCAAACACGGCATGGACGATAGCCAGGTACCTATCAATGGTCAGAAGGATGATAAAGAAGATCCCGGTGAAGAAGCCTATGTGATAGATCCCGGTCAGAAATTGACACATTCTGTTTCCAAAAACCCACTGGTCTGCAGCATAGTAGGCCCAGAATGGAAGAGTGAGGAGGAAGAGCAGGTCGGAGATGGCCAGGTTGAGCAGGTAGATGTCGGTCATGCTCTTCAGCTTTTTGCAGTTGATGAGGATGAGGATGACCAGCAGGTTGCCCGGGAAGCCGAAGATGAACACGAGGGAGTAGAGCGGGGGCAGGAGCCTGGCTGCGATTTGCCTCACGTCGGCTTTGTGGCAGGGCTCTGAGAGCTCGTATTCAATGTCATAGTATGGACTCGATGTTTCATAATCCATGTTCCTCGATGCTGTGAATAAAGCAAAAGTGATCATCTATAAAGCCCAAGAATGGATTAAGCTGTCTGCCCTGGGTTCAAACTGTCTTATATACGAATGAGCTCTTCAGCACGGGTACCTAGATTTCTACATTTAACAGAGTTCCCTTGTCTGGCCAAAAAAGAACATTTTCAGGAAAAGAAGGATCGCGGCTATCACCTCTGCTCACTAGATGGAGAGCACGACTCTGGGGGGAGTTCACTAAAGCATCGTCTGACCAAATGAAACCTGGTGCTCGATACCCACGTGAGTGAATGAAGCTTTGATCACAACTTCAAGAAACTGGCCCTGGTGCCATCTGATGCTGAGTTACAATTGCTGCTGTTGCTGCCCTTCCCTGGGGTGGGCATCACCCCGAGTGTGTGCTGGTAGCCAGTATCAGCTCTCAAGGGCACTCTGTGGGCCACCCACTTCACATCCGTTCATTCAATTAGTCCTCCTGGTCACCCTGTGAGTTAGGTCATGTTACTGTCTCCATTTTGCAGATCAGAACCTCAAAGCAGAGAGGATGAGTAACTTGCCAACCACACGTGTGTGAAAGCAGCTGAGTTTGAATGCGGTCAGCCTGCACTTTTATTCACTTCATCTCTTGCTTCTTGGCGAGGGAATTGGAGCATGGTACCATCAGCCTGGCACCTTGAAGCAGTCGGAAAGAAATGGGCCGGTGCCCAAGTCCCCTGAGAAGGCCACAGGAGCCAGTAGCCAGGTAGAAATTCCAGGCTGCCATTTGTGCTTACAGTTCCCGAGTTGCTATGGGGAAGGGCTCCCTCCCCCCACACACAAGCCATCCAAGTAGAAAACATCTCAGCTGCCCCTTTTATTCTGGGTTTGCTCAGACCCTTCATAACCGCCTGGCTAGCCTGGTCTATTGCAGTTCCAGTTCCTATTTAGAAGTTTCTTTAATGAATCCTCATGGGTTTCATCCCCCCTAGACCTCAGAGTAGGTAGCTGCAGAAAATATAGCACATGAAAATATAGCTGCAGAAACTATGTAGCGCATACAGAAAATATCACCTTAAATTCTGAGCCAGAGCAAGAGCCACACACTAAATACGCTGCAGAGCTGATCCAGTAAAGGGACACTTTATTTGCTACTTGTGATCCAATATTAATTTGGACAATCTTTAGCCTTCCCTCTTTTCTGGGAACAAACAAACAAACAAAAGAAATAAACTTGGACCCAACTTCTGCTTGGACACACATTCCGAGGGCATCTTGCCTGGTCAGTGTCCATTCTTCCCCGAAGATCATTCTGTCAAGATTTTGGCCAAGAATCATCTCCCTGAAAAGCTTTCTTTTGAAAGGTGAACTTTCTTTATTCCTCCTTCCCTTCCCTTCCTTCCTTCCTTCCTTGCTTTCTTGCTTCCTTCTTTCCTTCCTTTTAAATAATGCTCCCTTTACAACAACCTTTCATTCACATTCGTGTTTGTATCTTCGATGTGATCCCAGTCTGAAACTCATTCTAAATTCGAACTCTTTTCTCCTCTCAAAGATTATGTTTTAAGAAAGCTCTCTGAGCCCAGGAGTTTGTCTCGGCTTCTAGGGTTTCCTGTAAAGCCTTTTACTCATCACAGGAGTTGAGCTAACTAAAAGGCAAGGTGGTTGTGGGGTGACTTACCAGGATGGTTCTTGTAAGGGAACGGATGTCTCAGCCACTCTGGCTAGCTGAGCTGTGCACACTGAACATATAGACAGCATAAAAGTAGGAAACACAGGGTTTCGACTGAAAAGGGGAGGCGGAGTTTTAATGAATGGCTATATTTCAGGACCAAAAAAAAAAAAAAAAAAATCAAAGACTGGTTCTTCTTCTTCTTTTTTTTAAAATTGCTTAAAATAGGACAGAGACTAGATTTCTAGCCTGAATGCTTATTTACAGGCTTCCCTGACGACACTGTTTTCTTTTGTTTTCTGCTCATGCAACTACGCTGAGTCTGTTTAGGAAAGAGAAGGATTGAAGGATATCAACACTAGAAAAGCATTCACATTTATGGAGTCAAACCTCCTCATTCTGTCCAAAGAAAAAGCGGCTTCAGAGGCCAATGGCTTATTTGTATAAAACCGCAAATTGTATAAAATTTGTATAATTTGTATAATTATCACTGGTGTGGCTGCAAAGGAGAGATTCTGCTTCTTTTACTACTTGCCTTCCATGAGAGCCACTGAAACCAACTTGAAACAGAGGGGATGCTTCACATGAAGCCCGTGGTGCCCCTTACCCACGGCGCTCTGTCCCCTGAGCCCACAGCCCACATCTCTACCTCACGCCCCAGTACGATTTTTCTCTGTAAGTGAAAACAGCTGGTCATCTAAAGGGCTTTACCTACAGGCTCACCTGTGAGCTGAACACATCACCCATCTCTCTCATCTTTCTTGGGGTCAGGAATATTGTGGGGCACGTCATCACAAATTTCCTCCACCCGGGCACTATTTGGCAGCCCTGCCGACCAGCTGGCGTTCACAAGCGCCTGTACCGTGCCAGACACAGGCAGCAGAGAGCCTCTCTCCGAGGACAGTCTATCTGTAGCCATGAGAGATTTTCCATATGAAGGGAGCAGAACTGACAGATGGGTAGGGTCCGGTTCAGGATTCTGGGACGATAGCACAGGCAGCCACGTGGAGCTTTCTCGGTGGTTGGTTATTTACCTGAACCCCGCAGGTGTTGACGGCAGAGCCGACCACACAGCGGAGAGCCAGCCTAAGCCTCAGGAGTGCCCTCTGGGGTCTTCGTTTTATCCATAGAATCAGAAGTGTTGGCTTGTGTGGTCTGAGAAAAGGTGGAGGAGACCCCAAACCTAGGGACGCAGCATAACGCAGGGCTAAGCAGGTGGCCTCCGTAGCCTGACTGCCTGAGCTTGAAGCCCGGCCTAACCCTTTGTTTTCTGATGCGTGGAATGGGCTGAATAATTGGTTGCCTCATGGGTTTGTGGGGGAGAGACTCACGAGGCAGCCACATCAAGAATGTAGCACATAATATACACTCAATAAACATCAAGCCTGGAGTTTCTCATCCCATGATCCTTTCCTAGGGAGAGTTTATCTTATAAAATGTTAACAAAATTGGTTCCCTGAGGTCCTTGTCTAGAGCAGGGTAATGTCAGCAAACTAGAAGCTGAAAGAGGGAAGCTAATGACTGGCATTTGGAGAACAGGGGAAATGATGGCTGGGCAGCGTCAGAAAAGCCACAGAAATAGCCCAGCATCCACCACCACACATCCAGGGGAGTCTGCTTGTGTCGCAACACAGCCCAGCAACTGGAAATCACAACCATGAGAGTGAGTTGTGAAAATCATCTCCGAGTTCACCCTGTGTGTGGAACTCAGGAAAGAATGTTTCAGGACTGGGTTCTGCAGCCTTGCTGCAGGGTTACGGCCCAGCATCACCCTTCCACTGCTTGACGCTGAACAGGGTTTTTGAAACTCTCCCAAGCCTTAGTTTTCTTATCCTTAAAAATGGGGGCAAGTGCCCCCCCCCCACATATTCGATAGGTCTGTGGTGAAGATCAAATAATATAACAAGGGAAGAGTGTTTCCCAGACATCAGCCCTCTGTGGGCTACTTTAGTGTGCTTTACAGTTCACAAGTTATGGGGTCACAAAATGGGTAGCGAATGAATCAATATTCAATTTCGCAGAAAATTGGGAGTGTGATTTTGGTTCTTCGAAGAGCAGCCTTGTGTTTGCTTGAGCTGTGCGGATGTGGGGAGCTCTCGGATGCTGCTGGACGAACATTCTATTTCTGTATGTGTTACTGGCTAGCTTTTAGTTTCGCCACCAGGGCGGGGGCTTTGCCCTGCATTCTGCGCATCCAGTGTCAGGGCCGCTGAGGATGTGGTGGCCGGCTCACCCCCAGGGGGCAGTGTGGAGCAGTGAGGAGCAGGCTTGGAGTCCCAGACTGTGCTGACTTCCTCCAGATCTTCCCCTCTCTGCCCTTCTGTCTCCTCATCTGTCAAGTGATTGGCTAGATCCCCAGGGGTCCCGAAGGCAGCTCCCCATTCAGTCCTCTTAGATGACTGTATGGCCACACAGGTTTGGACAAGACGCATTGGAAGGGAAACAGGGTGATGATTCCTATATGGGCTGATGCCAGGAGCCGCACCAGCCTCTTTGGATGGCAATCACGGCAAGGAAGTGACAATGTTTACAGCTGCTGCCATGAGAGACGAAAACTGGTTTTTCCTTCTGCTACTACTGGCTCATGTTGGATATAAGTCTGCTGGTATTGACCAGACCTCACAATATTCCATATCAGACCCATATTCTAAACACAGATACCTCATAAGGAAAAGCATATTCCTGCCTTTACAAAAGAGATTTTAGATGAAAGCTCTATGGGCGATTGTCAAAAGTCTCTTCCTATGGGCCTTGCAGATCTGAGACTTAGGGGGTTAAGAACACAAGAATTACAATTGACCCTGGCCCTGAGACCAAGGGCCTATTTTGAGGTTAAGAGCAAAACATAGTTACCACATATATCTTTGCTAATTGGTGAAACATAATAGTCCCTTCCTCAAGGCCTACTTTCCACAAACACCCTCTCTTACACTGGCAGCTGGGATGAGGAAAGATAAGAGTAGCTAAAACATAACCCAGGGACAAAAGACTGACCCATTCAGGGCCCCCATGATAGTCTCCACAAACAAACCAATTGAGAAACATTCATCCTCTTGAGAGCCAGACAAAATATCCTAACTTATCTATATACAATTTGACCTATATGCTATCCTATTTTTCACTAAGAACATTCTGTTATTTCCTTGGTCAGAATAATTCTAATATTGATATCACAAAAGGAATCCCATTGTAAGAAATTCCTTTCTATGACTTCATCTTGTTGCTGAACCTTTAAATAAAGATACAAAAACTGACAGGACAGAGATGCCTGCCTGGTGATCAGAAAGAATCTCGGGGCTCCCTCTCTCTCTCTCTCGCCAACGACACAGTCCATCCTTCAGGGACCCCTGGACCTGCCGGAGCTAGTCGGGAATTATTAGAATAATTCCAAATACCAAGTAGGTGATTTTGGATATTCTCCTAAGTGTGGGTGGTATCATTATGTTGGAGGGGAGTGACATAGATCCAACTATACTCCTTGTGACATCGAAGAGCCAAACGAGATTTTAGGAAACGTAATTCATTTCCTATAAACAGTAGTGCCTCTTTTAAGGCATTAGCCTAAGTGTCCAATTTCCTGTCAATTATTTATTGAGTGGCCAATGCAAAAGAGCCATTTCTAGTTAATTGGTCAGCGTGTTGGGCTGTATGTACTTCTTGGATAAGGGAGACAATGGAAGTAGCCACAGACCCTATGATGGCAATCAGTGCAGTAATGCTCCATATTTGGCATGTGAGAGCATAATTGATCTCCTGTAAGACCTGTAACTCACAATCATCACACTAAGGAAGGGTTAGTTTAACAGAATCTTCCATTGAAGGTGCCCTGCTGTTACAAATCGGGTTTAGATTAGAGACAATTAATACCAACAGAACATAAGAGGAAGGGGAGTAGAAAGAGGAATTTTTTTGCTCTTTTTTTTGGCCACAATTAGGCTCTCCAATTAGGAGAGTCTCTAAGTCTACTGCCAGACTCTATCGGCAGGTCTCAAGGCTGCGCTCGCAAGGCTACATTGTCAGTCAGGGACCAGAGGAAAGCCCCGCAGCATTCCTTAAGAGTATAACAGAGGCACTCCGCCAGTACACCCCTATGGATCCTGAGGCCCCAGCAAACGTAGCTGCAGTGGCCATGGCTTTTATCAATCAATCCGCCCCCGACATTCAGAGAAAACTTCACAAATTAGATCCTCTAAAAAAAAAAATAAAATAAATAAAATAAATAAATATAAAAGGAGAGAAAAAGCCTCCAAGATCTAGTGGTCGTGGCAGAAAGGGTATATAGCAACAGGGAAAGTGCAGAAGATAAACAGATAAAAGCTGAAAAGAGATAAAACCAAGGTCTAGCCAAGATCCTACTCGTGGCAACTGCTGAGCCAAAGGACCAGAAAAGACACCTCAGGCAGTTGACTTCAGGAGAAGAAAATAAGGAAAACTTCCAATGGCTCAAAGGGCGCCCCCGCTTAGGCAAAAATCAATGTGCCTACTGCAAAGAAGGACATTGGGCCAAAAATTGCCCCAAGAAAAAGTATAAAGCTCCCATTCTAATAATGGGAGATGACAGTGACTAAGGGAGATGGGGTTCGGCACCCCTCCCCAAACCCAGGGTAACCCTAAAAGTGAAAGGGATGGGAATGTAAACTGGTGCAGCCCCTCTGGAAAACAGTGTGGAGTTTCCTCAAAAAATTAACAATAGAATCCCCTAGGACCCAGGAATAGCACTGCTAGGAATTTACCCAAGGGATACAGAAATGCTGAAGCATAGGAGCACATGTACCCCAATGTTCATAGCAGCACTCTCCACAATAGCCAAAACATGGAAAGAGCCTAAGTGTCCATCAACAGATGAATGGATCAAGAAGATGTGGTTTATCTATACCATGGAATACTACATGGCAATGAGAAACAATGAAATCTGGCCATGTGTAGCAACATGGATGGACCTTGAGGGTGTTATGCTGAGCGAAATAAGTCAGGCAGAGAAGGACAAATATCGTATGTTTGCACGTATAGGAGGATTAGGAGGAACTTAACTGAGGACCATGGGGGAGAAGAAGGGGGGAAATGGTGGGGTAAAGGGAGAGAGGCAAACCGTGAGAGACTCTTGAATGCTGAGAACAAACTGAGGACTGATGGATGTGGGGGTGGGGGGGAGATTGGCGTGGAGGAGGGCACTTGTGGGGATGAGCACTGGGTGTTATATGGAAACCAATTTGACAATAAACTATTCGTAAAAAAAAAATAAAATAAAAGTTAAGAGGAAAAAAAAAACCCAGAAAAAACAAAACAAAACAAAAAAAAGTGAAAGGGAAATCCACCGAGTTCCTAATGGATACTGGGCTCAACATTCTAAGGAGCGCGCAATAGGGACATAAGGGCCGCCCTGCCCGGCCCCGAGCTAGCTGCCCGCACCCCTGCCGCTCCCAAGTCCCTGAAGCTGTGCGTCCAGCCCAGGCAAAGTCTCCCCGCCCAACCTGTGGCCTCCGCACGGGGCACTCACCCGTCGCCGACCACCACGCACTTGATGGCCTACCTGAAACGCCGCTAACACCAGATGTGGGATTTAACCTTGGCTCCAGCAGCTTGTTAAGCTCCTCGTCGTTGTGGATGGCTAGCTCCGGGATCTCCACAATAAAGTAGTGGCCCTTGATAAAGAAGGACGCCTACCAAGGGGCTGAGGAACCACTGTCCGCCGAGCACTCCCAACCAAACATGAGACTGCCCAAATTGTGGCCAAATTAGACACGGAAGCACCACTTAGCAGGGTTCTTATTTACCCCTCTCGGGTTTCTGGTCCAGGGGTGGATTCTGGTCAGCTCTCAGGATGGAGGTTCATCCCAGGGGGCTCCAAGCAAGTGAGGACTCCTGGGCACTTCTTCAGCATAGACTCAGGGAAGCATTTCAGTCTGTCGTGCTGTGACTTTGTTTCACAGCCTCTGCTTCTCTTTGGCCCTTCCGTTGGAAGGCTCCTGCTGTCCCGTGTAGATGGCATTCAGACTTCCGGTGAGAAATGATCTTTTCACCTGTTCATCGCTCTAGACTCGATGCCCATATTGGAGGGTGTCTTGCGCAGCCCTCCTTTTGGGGAGCAGGCTGGCCTGTGGGCAGCTGCGCCGCGCCCAGACATTGAATCCACCTGCTCGGGCTACTCTCTTCTCTTTGCCTGTGCGTCTCTGCACCACACATTCAGAGCATCAGCCACAGGATGGGGAGACATCTGTTCTTCTCCTTGGGTCAGAGGGTCTTTTGCACGAGCACGGTTCCTGAAACGCACCACACGGCAGCTGGCAAGCAGTTCCAGCCTGGTTCGAGGTCAACGCCAGTCAACAGTGAGATGGGCTGTCTAAATAGTGAATGTGTCTTTTAGTTTTGAAAACAAATGTCTAAGGGGCGCCTGGGTGGCTCAGTCAGTTGAACGTCCAATTTTGGCTCAGGTCACGATCTCACTGTTTGTGAGTTCAAACCCCACGTCAGGCTCTGTGCTGACATTGAGGAGTCTGCTTGGGATCCTTTCTTTCCTTTCTCTCTCTGCACCTCCTCTGCTCATGCTGTCTCTGTCTTTCTCACAATAAATAAATGAATGAACTTAAAAAAATGAAACAAATGCCTAATAAAACCAATACGCACTCATTGTATGAAGTTAAGAAAAACAGAAAAAAGGAAAATAAGGGAAAGAAACAGACAGTCTCACAATCTCAAACAATCCTTTTTTCTTTTTAACGTTTAGTTTTGAGAGAGAGAGAGAGCTCAAGTGGAGGAGGGGCAGAGTGAGAGGGAGACATAGAATCCGAAGCTGACTCCAGGCTCCAGGCTGTCATCACAGAGCCCGATGCGGGGCTTGATCTCAAGGATCCTGAGATCATGACCTGACTCAAAGTCAGATGCTTAACTGGTTGAGCCACCCAGCTGCCCCTAAACAATCCTTTTAAACACAAGATATATTTCAATCGAGACTGTTTCCCATGTACACTTTTTGGCCTATTGTTCCCACACATATACCGATTCTATATGCTTCTCTCTGTGGTGTTTTGTTGTTGTTGGTCTTTTCTTTTGTTTTTTGGGTTTTTTCTTTTTTTTCTTTCTTTCTTTCTTTCTTTTTTTTTTGCTAAAGACCACAGTATAGGCATTTGTTCATGTCATTAAAAGAACACCCCCTCTATGTAATTCTTACATTCTTATTTTTATGGTGGATTTATTTATTTATGGATTTATGGATTTGTTTGTTTATTTGTTTTTATTGCAGTATAATTTAGACGCAGCAAAGTTCACTGATCCTAGGTGCACAGCTTGGGGAAGTTTTGATAAGCAGGCACCCACATAACCAACCTTCCCCACTGATGGAGGTGATAGGGAATTGTCCTATCTACCCCAAAGGTGGCCTTGCACGAAGCACAGAAGTAAGGGCCACTCTGACTTCTGCCACCAGGGATCCTCCTGGACCTCTCCTTTCTGTCCATATAAGTGCAATCATAGACGCTACCTTCTTTCACATCTAGATCCTCTTCTTCAACATAAAGCTATAAGCAGACTTGCCACAGCTTTGTTACTAGACATTCTGGCTCCTTCCGTCCATCTTATGACAGTCCCTTCCCAGTGTGGCTGACAGCTCTCTTCGAATCCCACCAAGAAGGACGCTCCCAGTGTCTCCGAAGCCACCTTTCCCCAAGAAGGCCAGCGAGTCCTCATGGTCCTCAAAGAAAAAGGAAGAATCTCTCCTTACCATGAGTGTCATGTTTTGTCACCTGTGTGCCTTAGCCATGATGCTAGGGCCCCGTGACTCCCAACACCACTTCACCTGCAGCCTCAGACACAGGACACGGTGAGTGGGGCTGGAGGTCATCATGCTTTCCTCTTACCCTAACGTCTCTGTCCTCCAGGCCCTTCCCAGGTTGACCCCCTTCCCGGCTCCTGCACCGTGTCCCCTACACCCTATGCAAATCATCAGAGCCAGCGGACACTTGGAAACCGCGCACCTCCTCGCTTATTGGATATGACGTCCAGACGTGGTGGAAGACCTTCCACTCTCCTGGGAAGTCTGCTCTCGCCTTTTGGGGATTCCTTTCATATCAGTGCTCAGACGTGGTGCAAATGCAACGTGACACACCGATTAAGGGCTGTGAGAGGCTCAGTGTAGCTTTGGCGGATCGGGTCACACCTGCACCTCTGTGTTCAGCTCTATGCAAAACAGGATATCATGTAGGACTTTTCCTGTTACCCCAGAATAGGTAGTTATGGACTGAGGCTGAGGGCAAAGAGGTGTTAAGTACCCGACAGTTGTGAGGAAAACCACTGACACCTGGCATTACACATCTCCCTCAAGGGCTCATGGAGTGGCAGAGTCTGTGTCCCCAGCTGCCGTGTCAACTCCTCCCACCCCAGTCCGATAAGGAGACACATCTGGGCAGGGAAGGGTTGTAGAGATGGGTGGGACTGATGGCGAGGTGAGAGGCGGCTCCTCTCCTCAAAGCCAAGGGTGGGTGAGTGGTCTGAGAGATCGTGTGAGGAATGAAGGCTTACAGGAAGGGGAGGCCAGAACCTCCTTCCTGGGTGGGGCACCCATTAGGCAGCGGGCCAGCAAAGCAGGTGAGGAAGGGCCTGGAGAGCCGAGGAGCTGGAGACAGGGCAGTGAGGCAGCAAGGAGGGCCTGGGGATGTGGGAACGCCTTGGGTCAAGTTGCAAACATAATGTCGAAGTGACCACGGCCGAAGAGTTGGCCAACCTCAATCGCTCACCATACCCAGGGCCGGCCCTCCCCTAAATTCACGGGAGGTCCACTCACCAGCCCAGATGCCTCTTCCTTCATGACAGGCCTCTTCTTGATGGCCCTTGGTGGCCTTTGTGCTGCTTGCTAATCTCCCCTGAAGCCATTTCAATTTGTTAGGGAAATCGGGAGAATGAGAAAAAGGGAAGTGGAGGGATGGCGTCTGGGTGGCTCACTCCCAGGAGGTGGGAGGACCTGCTGCTTTGAGCATCGCACATTGCGGAGGACGGCATGGGGTGGGCTCGGCCAAGTCCCCAACTCCCCCAAAGTCTTAAGGCACCCATCCCCGGGAATGATGATCTTTCTTGACATCTGCTTGACTCACACCACCCGCCCAAATGCTCTCCTCGGGATAAAGAAGACAGGGTTTCCACTTCTAGAAAGGGAGCAGGTTAGCAGCTCTCAAGTGGCAGTTTCTCTGGTAGCTATAAAATCCTACCGTAGCCATTACTGCTATGATGTAGGACTATCATTGAGTTAGCTACCCTCTCCTCTGGGTTATCGGAAAATTTCACATAGACCTCCATCTCTGTCCTCTGCGCCGTGCCTGCTGATTTGTAAACACCCCATCCTCTGCCTCTCCATGCACCCCAGTCCCTGGACTCAAGGTCTGAGAATGTGGGAATTGACACACTCGTCTTTCCGGACCCGCCCTGGACCGGCGCGTGATGGGTCTTCATGCATGCTCGTCACATAGAATTCCACGATGGAGTCACAGTTACTTTTCCACATTTTATTTAAAAAGCCACTCTGTACCATATGCACTCATTAGCTTTTTGTGCTTCTAAGCAAACAGTCTCCATTGCCCAATGGCTTAAAACGGCGAGCATGGACCCTCTGCCCCTGTGACACGTGGCTGCCGTGTGCCTGGGGTTCTGGCTCTGTTCTCTGTGTCTTCTTGACCTGGTGTGGCCTGGGATGGACCTTCTGGTGGCTGAGCTGGGACCGCCAGAGGCTCAGCCCACCTGCTTTGCCACTCCACTGCTTTACTACAGTGTGGCTGCTCACGCTTTAGTGGCCGAGCCACCTGGGGAGCGGGTCGTGGAGGCCACCTGTAGGCACACTGTAAGTCACACGGCAAGGACAAGAATGTGTAATCGCACAGAGGAAGCAGTGAAAAGTGAAAACTAAGACAATGTAAGGCTTATTATTTTTATGGTTAGGAGGCTTCACATGCCATCTACGCGCTTACCAGATTTTTAAGTGCATAATACAGTATTGAATGGACAGGTACATTGTGGTAAAGCAGATGCTTGGAATTTATCACCTTGTATCACCAAAATTTTGTGCGCATTGATAAATGTGTAGAGAAAATATAGTATATACATACAGTGGGCGATTAGTCCACTTTCCAGAGAAGGATGTCCTGCCACGTACGGCAACTTCGATGAAGCTTGGGGGCATGATACTGAGTGAAATAAGCCTGGCATAGAAGGATGAATGCTCCATGCTTCGACTTCCACGAGGTGTCTAAAATAGAATCATGGACGTGGTGGTTGCCAGAGGCTGGGGAGAGGAGAAAATGGGCAGTTTCTCACCAAATTTTTAAAAAATTTTTAATGTTTATTTTTGAGAGAGAAAGAAGCAGAGTGAGCAGGGGATGGGGCAAACACAGAATCTGAAGCAGGCTCCTGTCTGCTGTTAGCACACAGCCCTGTGGGGGGCTCGAACTCAGGTACAGCGGAATCATGACCTGAGTCAAAGTCAGCCACTTAACAGACTGAGCCACCCAGGCGCCCCCCAGATATGTATTTTTAAAAGCACAATATAGTTGGAGCATTGCTTCATTTTCTAAATCGTAGCTTAAAAAAAAACCCAATATTTACATTTCATCCCCAAAACAAAATTTCATGCATTCATCCAGATGATACAAATACCTGAAGATGAAGCATGGTCTCCTCACCCTACTTCTTTCTGGAGCCTTCTCTGGCCATGAAGCAGGAAAGTAGAACCATAGTAACTTCCAGCTCCCGAGTTGCCAGGTTCCAAAAGCCCCGTGTTTCCTGCTTGCGTCAGATCAGAAATCCACTGGGTGACACGCATGTCTGTTCTTACCGTGGCTCCACCAAGATGAAGTCTTTGCTTCCGTAAGTGACCCAACTCCCCTCCTTTACAAATTGGGTTTCAACGTTTGATGAGGGGTCCATGCAATATAGGAGCCCCCAATCCAAACCGGAGAGTTCGAGCTTCCCTGAGGATATCTACAAAGCACCGAAGCATCCAAACATGATTAAACCCATGACGTCCTGGGATGCGTAGGGACACAAAATAGATGCGTGGCAGCAAATCTGGGAGGGTAAAGACACCGTGGAGATGGCAGTTATGGAGTGTGTGCTGTGAGCCACATGGCACTACTTAGACACCAAAACCAGCACCCTTTGATCGCAGCCACCTGACTCCTTGACGACAACTATTTATGCTGCATTGGTACTGTCCCAAACACACGGCATGCGTGAACATTTTCAAGTCAAAACCGAAGCTCAAATTCTGTGACTAACACAGTATTTTCGGACTTGACCTAATAACAACTCTTAAAATGACTCTGCCCCATTTACAAGTTGTAGTTTCAGGTTTACTTTTATTTTTACTTTATTATTACTATTAATCTCTTTTTATACATCTGAATTCTATGCCTGTATCCAAAAATGAGGTGCAGGAAGATAGTTTGGAAAACACTTTTCCCCAGCCTGTCAGGAGTCTTTGCCCTGCCTGGCCAGTTAGATCCCGACATTCACAGGCCACCTGTCTCAGAGGTGAGGCCTCTGTCATGTCCTCTGGGCCCCTCTGTCCCGGAGGCACACCCCAGGGCCCATACCTGCTGCTCCCCATCTTCCGGGCCCGCTGAGGGCTTCTGGTTCCACCATTTTCTATTCCCCGAGGCTATTCTCCTGAACCTCCACATACCGCTTCTGGGGTGGGGCAATCCTCTGGGCAAGAGTGAGGGGATGAAGGGGGAGGGCGGCAGATGGGGCCAAGGCAGTGGGAAGCAGGGGCAGGCAGCAAGATGCAAAGGCACGAGACCCTTGTGGGTTCTGATGCACCTTCCTGGCCTCTGCTCCTAGCTGATTCTGGAAACACTGCTGGGGCAGCGGCCTCACACAGCTTCCTGAGCTGCTGTTATAGCCCTGAGCTCCTGATGCAGAAACTAACCCTTCACTCCTTCTTATCATCATTACCTGCAACCCCCACACCGCCACCCCCCCCCCGTAACACCCAACGAGGCCTCTTATTTTTTCCTCTCATTATAGATTACGCATATTTTATGAACAAAAAAATGTTCCTACATTTTTACTTAGGGGGATATGGCATGAGACACGTGTGAACAAGGGGGCACGATATTTGCTAGGTTTCAGATGTAGGGTGCGTGGTTATCCCAGATAAATCCTAAGGAAGCAAAAGTGTGTCCTGCGCTTGCACCGAAGAGGACGATTGGACCCAAGTAAAGCTCTCTCGGAGAGTTCTTACGCTTTCCATGCTTGCTGGGACCACGTGGGACCTTCCAGGTAATTCTGGTGGGAGGCGAGGCTGCGGACGGCGCTGCTGACGTCCTTCCCTCCTCCTTATCTAGGCACAGCCATACCCCAAGCTCCCTCCTCCTGGCAGGGCTGCCCCCCCCCACACCCCTCCCCGCCTCCAGCTGTGCCCCTGACCAGAGAGAGAGCACTGGGGAGCGAGTGAGGTGCAGGTGGGGGCTGAGAGAAGCACAGAGCCATTTTCCAGGGGCGGAGTTTCCCACGAACTGTGAGGAGCTCTTTGGAGAGTCACTGTCTCCCCCCACAGCTGTTCTGGAACATTCCCTGAGGGCATGTTGGCTGCCCAGGGAGCGACAAAGTCTGTTTGGGTGCACCCCCCCTGAGCCTCCTGCACGCTGGCCTGAGAGGGTCACCCGCCTCCTTTCTTTGACAGACCTGAAGCTTATGATCATGTACAGATTTCCGTCCCCCTTAAGGGTCAGAGGCAAACTGCTCCTCATTTACAAGCCGGCGGAGACCTCCTGCTCGCCCGTGGAAGGCGTGTACGTGGAGCTCACTCGATCTGCGGTCTCCCTGTAGAAGACTGGGCACTGTTTGCAGAGGTGTTTGGCGATGTGCTTCCGGAAAAACACGGAGAGATACCTTCTGAACTTCTCCCCGACGAAAGCGTAGATGATGGGGTTGACGCAGCAGTGCGTCCACCCCAGGGTCTCTGTCACCTGCATGGCTTGGTCCAGCTGACTGGAGGTCTTACAGGTATTCAGGCCGAAGGAATCCGGGAAGGTGCTCAGGAGGAGGACGATGTTGTTGGGGGCCCAGAAAAGAAAGTACACAATCATGATCACGAAAATGAGCTTCACGGCCTTGTGCTTCTTTTTTTCGTTGCGACAGCGGAACAGGGTCTTGAGGATGGCTGAGTAGCAGATGATCATGACAAGCAGGGGCAAGACCAGGCCCAAGATGCTCCTCATGATTGCATGGAAGTTCTTCCATCCTGGTTGGAAAGAAGGGCGGCAGGCGTAAAAAGTGTCTTCCCACTGCAAATTGTTGAAGACACACCCTGGGAGAGAGGCAACCACGGCCAGCACCCAGGTGACCAGGCTTGTCACCACCCCAAAGGTGACCGTCCTGGCCTTCAATGCAAACACAGCATGGACAATAGCCAGGTACCTATCGATAGTCAGGAGGATGATGAAGAAGTTTCCAGCAAAGTAACCCATGTGATAGAACGCTGTGACTGTCTTACACATCATATCCCCAAAGACCCACCCGTTGGCCACATAGTGGGCCCAGAAGGGGAAGGTGAGGAGGAAGAGCAGGTCGGAGATGGCCAGGTTGAGCAGGTAGATGTCAGTCATGCTCTTCAGCTTTTTGCAGTTGATGAGGATGAGGACGACCAGCAGGTTGCCCGGGAAGCCGAAGATGAACACGAGGGAGTAGAGCGGGGGCAGGAGCCTGACCGCGTTCTGCCTCACATCCGTTTTATGGCAGGGTATGCTGTAATCATAGTCGAAACTGGTGGTGGGCTGTTCTCCACCCCCCTGGTTATTGGTTGTGAACAGAGATTGAGATGTGGACAGCACTTGGTGGCTGAACTGGAGAAGCAGGTCATTGTCATCCATCTTCTCCGTCCTGTAATCAGAGAACAGAATGATCACACACCACATATTGGCCGCTGTCTCTGATCTTAAAAATGTCCCCACTCCCCTTCAGCAATAGCCCAGTGTTCGTCTTCGGTGTTGCGGCCATCTCCTTGAAAGTTCGCGTGCTGGTCGATCACGTCCCTTTATTCCTTCTAGCAGACACCAGTTGTCTGCCCACCGGCCATTTCTCAACACTCTGGGCCTTCCCAGAAAGTCTGACTTATTACAAAGTTCCCCACGCTGCACACTTGTTTTCTACCTCCTCTGCGGGGCTGCACAGGCCTGGGACCCATTCCTGGATGACAATGTAGAAGGGGACTCTGCTTAGAGGGCTCCTGGCAATGTCCTTCTCTGACAAGAGAGATGAACAGAAACCCTGGCCTGTCCCCTTCTGCTTCTGTAGCTTGTCTTATGAGGGCTTGGGTGCTTGGGACCCTGAATGAAAGACTCAGAGGACGGAACAAAACCAAGCAGAGTCACCACATCACCAAGATGTAAGCCCCAGCCTTGAAGAGCCCATCCTCTGATTCCTTGTTAAGTGGAAAAAAAAAAAAAGCCCAATTTTGTAAGCTACTATGAGTTCCAATGTTCTGTAACTGGCAAGCTGCAGTGTCGTAGCTGACACCTCTCTCCACCCTCTGCCTCCGTCACCCTGCCGAAGCTTCTATTGCAAGGTTGCAATGACAACCCCACTTCTTAATGTCTTGGCTCTCTTTCAGCTTTATTCTCTTTGAGAATTGAACCTGTCTGCTAAGTTCTTTCATTTAAAACTCATTTTGGGGGCACTTGGGTGGCTCAGTCGGCTGAGCATCTGACTCTTGATTTCAACTCAGGTCATGATCTCGGTTTGTGAGGCTCTGTGCCATCAGAGGAATTGTCTCTCTTTCCTTCTCTCTGCCCCTCCCTCTCTTTCTCAAAATTAATAAACATTTGGGAAAAAACACAAATCTGGCTTCCAGGAGGTTAGTGCTGGTCTCACACCTTCTTATTCCTTTTCTTGCTTGGTGTCTCCTTCCCCCGTCTACACTGTGAGAATCCCCAGGCACCATCTGCGGCTGCCACCTCTTTACTGGCTGTCTCATTATTCTCATCTCAAAGTTCTTGCTGAGTCGTGTGGTCTAATTGCAAGGTTTTAGGCCCTTTGGATGCCAATGCATTCTGAAGCTCTGGCTTCTGGTCCCAACTTTCAACCCCGACATCTCAGAGTTGAGTTTCCTATTGCCTTCTGCATAAAAGAGCTTACTCATTTGACCTGCATTTATTGAGCACCCTACTGTGAGCCATACTACATTCTAGGTACTGGAGATACAGCAGTGAGCAAAATGGGTATCATACATGTACCTCAAATTCAACCCACCCCAAACCCAACACCCCCTGAAGTGTGCTCCAGCTAGTGGACTCTTTATCTTGGCTACTATCCTTGACTCCAGTGTCTAGGAAGCAGGAGTGGGCATTGACCTGGGTCCTTCGTCTTCAGAAGGTTAGGAGCAGCCCTCAGGAACCAACAGGCCCAGATGGAAGCCTGCCTTCAACTACTTACAAGTTGTGGTATTTGGGGCCAACTACTTCTTCAACTCTGTTTCTTTATGTATAAAACACTAACTCTGCTGAGATGGAGGAAGAGGAGGACTCGGCACCGCACCTGGAGCAGTGACGTGCTCTGAGTTTTTGCTATTGTGTCATATGAATTTTATCTGATAAACACCTCCAGGTCCGGCGCCTCCACCAGCCCTGAGACGCCCCTCACTTCCATCTTTGCCGTGCACGTGGCTTATTCCTGACCGTGCTCCTTTTCAACCTGTCTTCCCCAACATCGCACTGGGATCTGGCGCTTCTCAGCTGAACACCGCCAGCAGCCTGGCAATTTGTATGTGGCGGGACCTCAAAGGCAATGCCCCCAGACCACTCTCCTCAGTCTTTCTTTTTTTTTTTTTTTTTTAAATGTAATTTATTGTCAAGTTAGCTAACATACAATGTATACAGTATGCTCTTGGCTTTGGGAATAGACTCCCGTGATTCATCGCTTACGTACAAAACCCTGTGCTCATCCCAATACGTGTCCTCCTCAGGGCCCATCACCCATTTTCCCCGCCCCCACCCCCCCATCAATGCTCAGTTTGTTCTCCGTATTTAAGAGTCTCTTACAGTTCTCATTCGTCAGTCTTTTCTATGCTCACTTCTTCCCAGCTCTGTCTCCAGTCACTTCTCAAATCCCAAATGCTCTGCTCCTGTCCCAGCGATCTTTCTTCCGTTTTCCTGCAAACTCACTATTTCCCTCCTGCCCCAGGGGTTTGGCACATGCTTGCCCCTCTGCTAAAATGGCTGGTGAGCTCCTAGCCATCCACCAGCACTTCCTGCTCCAATTCCCTTTCTCTGTGAAGCCAAACCCGCCTCCTCTATCAATTACTCAGATTATCTCATAAACCGCTGTTTGCCTCTTATCACACAATCTTCCACCCACGGTGGGCTCCCTGAGATCCAGCTCACGTTTCTGTCCCCAGCTCTTAAGATAGCCTCTGACTAAAGGAGGCACCAAGAAATGTTTATTGAAAGAATGCATGAAAGTCTTTATACTGAGTACATCTAGCATCATTAGACATCAGAAGACATCTAACATCAATCCTCAAGAATATCGATTTTTTTTCCTGGTAGTGGCTGTGAATTGGTCTTTCTCTTTGTACACACCTTATTCTTCAATTTCTCTTATGATCAATACATCTCATAGATCTTGCGTTTCATCAAGCCAGATTCTTGGAAATCTGCAGCAACTAAATAGGACCTCTAATCCAGTTTGTGGAGAAAACTATGTATCCACCTAAAGAATGACACCTGGGAGCATTCACTGAGGGCTCCTGGATCTCTAGGCGCTGTGCTAAATACTTTGCATGCATTAATTAATTTAATACTTGCAATAATTCTGTGAGCAAGTGTTCATACATTTTGACAAGTGCAGAAATTCGAAATTCAAGCGCCGATGACTTTTCCACATTCCCAGAATAAGTCATGGCTGAGCTGGATTTTGAACGCGGGGCTCTTCAGTGTAAAAAAGAGTTACTCAAAAGCTTCCATGTCCAGGCTGGGAGAGCTGAGACGCATGTAGAACAGGTAACAATTTTCTAGGAATGCTTTCATGGTCTTGAAGAGAACTTCTTTGACATTTGGACATAACGCCCACACACTCACCCACAAGAGCACATCCCACCCATGTGCGTGCACAGACAAACACACACACACACACACTTTTCTACTAGAAAATAAACACCATGAGGGTTTAGGTATTTGCTTTGCAAAGAGGGATCTTGGTGCCCCAGAGCCAGATCTGGCACTCAGAGGCTACGAAAGAAATACCATTTCAGTAAGAGAATGACAGAAAACCAGCAGGCTGCAGGCGAGAAGCACAATGCCCTGCTATGGGCTAGCTCCCCAGGTAATCCAGTGGGAGGCCATAGACAAACGAGGAGATCGGGGATACTTGCACACAGCCCCTTAACTGCAGCACACCCCCTGGGTTGTTCTGTAACCAGCCGCAGGGCTAACCTCCTCATCTGGGTAGCAAAGTGTGGACTAGACCGGTGGTTCTCGAGTGCGGGGCTGCAGTATCGCACAGGAAGTCTGTAGTCAAGAAGTGCACAGTCCAGACCCTCCGGTGGTTCAGATCAGGGTTGGGGGGGGACGGGTAGGGGGAGCGGATGGGGTGTGAGGGAGCCAGCTGCCCTGACCACTTCCACCTTGTCTGTCCTCCACTTTGTTGTTTACCTGCGCTGGCTTCTCAACTACCAGCCGCCTCCCCTGCTTCTCTCCAGTCACTCCAGCACCACCTAGCTTCTAGCACAGCAGACGCGTGGCAAGGTGCTGCTTAATAAAAAGCTGCCTCTCAGCAAAAGTAGGTTCCTCGCGTCAGCCTCCATGGGTCTCCTGAATTCAGGCAAGGGGCCCATTTTGGTTTGGGGGTCTGGACCATCACATATATGGAATATGGGGGTGGGTAATATTTGGGGTAGAAAGCTCCAGTTCTTTAAAACCTTCGGAGGGAGGCTGGGATGTACAGAGCGAGGGGCAGTAGCCTGAGCATCCTTACTCTCCTGACTGTTGTCTTCACTGTGCTATCCTCCCGTCTGAGCCCCACGGGGTGGTCTTGCCACCATCAGAGATTGTTTACCGCCATCAGAGACTCTCCAGCCATCTTGGTGCAGATACCACCCTCCACCCTTTTCTCCGCCAAGACTACCCCACAGGAGCCGGGGCTCTGCAGCCCTCAGAATCTCAACATAAATAAAATCTCCAATTGGATCCCAAATCCATTGTGCATGGTTACACAAAACTCTATATTTTCAGCCCTGAGGTGCTCCCAGTGCCTGCATCTCCCACATTGGGATGCTTCGAACCTGTGACTCATAAAGTAATGAAGAAAAAAAAAAAGCACCCAAAACTCACCAGTAGATGGTTCTCCCAAGGGGCTCTGGGGTGTCAAGCTCCCCAGGAACTGAGCCGAAGAGATCTGGAGACAGAAACTTGGTGTGTAGAAAAAACCAAAATGTTTCCTGCAAAAAAGAAGGCGGGGATACAAGGGCAAGTAATGATAAAAATTTTTAAAAAACCCAAAACACCCCACACCAACAAGGGTCCAGTTCTGCTCCAGCCAGGAAAGCTGCACACTAGGTTGAAGTCTTCAGAATAAGACTAATTTTGAAATCTTACTTATGCAACCTTGAGTATGAGTCAGGTGACCCTGCACATCTGCTCCTGTGTCCAACGACTCTGGGTTTATCTTGCGCGTCTCTCTATCTGGAAATCTTCCCCCTCTTCTGCCAGTGATGATTTGCATGAAATGAGCACAGCAGAACCTCATTCTCCAGAAGATAAATGCCAACCGGGGGGCCGTGGGTGATGGTAGAGAAAACATAAAGAGTTCTGCGTGTCCATGCACAATGGATATGGGATCTGATTGGAAGCTTTATTTAGGTAGAGCCTTTTAAGGAAAAGGGGATGCAAAATTGTCTCTTATAATAGAGATGTCCTTAGCAAGAAAGGGCCTCAGTTAATTGTTGGTTCCACTCTTCAGAAAGAAGTTTTTATAAAAGAAAACACCACTGAGAGTCTGGGAAGATGGTGGCATGGAAAGCACCAGAAATTTCTCTCTCTATCGAGGCAACAATTGTACAGGCAGAATCTGTCTGACCTAACTATTCTAGAACTCTGGAATCCACTGAAAGCCTGCAACCGTCAGGGGAAGCCTCGGATGGTCAATTGTAGTTATTTTTGGTCAATTTTAGCTCTTGGCACAGTGGCAGCTCCCCAGGCCTCCCCCGCCACCCCCGCCGCCCTGCTCCAGCACACGTGCATAAAGATGTAATTCTGTGATACTAACAATCAAAAGGGGTGAGGACAGAGCGATAAAAGGGCAGGGTTTTGTGTGTTGTTGACGTCAAGCTGGTACAAACTTAAATTGGAATGTTATAACCTTGGGATATTACATATGACCTCCAAGGTAACCACAAAGAAAATAGCTTTAGAGCATACACAAAAGGAAATAAAAAGGAATTTAAATATTCCTCTGCAAAAAAATCAACCAAACACAAAAGAAGATAGTAGTGTAGGAAAAGAGGGACAAAAAAGCTGTAAGTGTGCAGGTAGAAAAAAATGCCAAAATGACAGAATTAAGTCCTCCTTATCAGTAATGACTTTAAATGTAAGTGGTTTAATTCTCCAATCAGAAGATAAAGAAATGGTAGAATGAGTAACCAAACCAAACCAAACCTAATCTAACTATATGTTGTCAACATGAGACCCATTTTTGATCTAAACACACAAATATACTGAAAGTGAAAAGACGCAGAAAAATATTAACTAAAAGATATTAAACAAAAAAGAGCAGGAATGACTATACTAATGCCACACAAAATAGCCTTTATTTATTATTGTCATTATTTTTTTAAAATAATAAACATGGAGTCCAACATGAGGCTTGAAGTCACGACCCTGAGATCGAGACCTGAGCTGAGATTGAGTCAGATGCTTTAACGGACTGAGCCACCCAAGGAGGCCCTGACAGAACAGACTTTACATCATAAAGAGCTTACAGGAGACAAAGACAGATGATATGCGTTAAAGTGTTCAATACAGCCAGAAGACATAACAAGACATAACAGTTATAAACATTTATACCTAATGACAGATCATCAAAATATATGAAGCAAAAACTGACAGTACTGAAGGGAGAAAAGACACTTGCACAATAATAGTTGGAGATTTCAATACCCTGTTCTTGATAATGAATAGAAAGCCTGATGGAAGATAAGTAAGAAAGCAGAGGACTTGAACATACGGTAAGCCAACTGGGTCTAACAGATGTACGCTACCCAAGAACAATAGCATATGTGTTCTTCTCAGATGCACTTGGGACATTTTTTTAGAAGTCGTGTTGAAACTAGACAAAGAACTTCTAAATTTCAACAACTAAACGAAAACTCAATTCAAAACTGGGCAAAGAACTCGAATAGACATTTCTTCAAAGAAGATATATAAATGGCCAATAAGCACCGTACTATGCTCAATACCACTGATCATCAGGAAAAGGGAAATCAAAGCTACAATGAGACGCCTCTTCACAGACATTAGGATGGCTGCTATCCAAATGACAGAAAGTAACAAGTGTCAGTGAGGGTGTGGAGAAACAGAAACCCTTGTGTGCTTTTATGGGGATGTAAAAACGGTACAGCTGCTGTAGGAGACGGTATGGTGGTTCCCCAAAAATGTAAAAGTAGAATTATTATGTGATCTAATAATTCCACTTCTGGTTATGTACTCAAAAGAACTGAAAGCAGGATCTTGAAGAGATATTTATATGCCCGTGTTTATAGGCATATTATTCACGATAGCTTAAACATGGACAAATGGACTAGCAAAATGCGGCATATGCGTATGTGGCATGTTATTCGGCCTTATAGAAGAAGAAAATCCTGACTCAGGCTACAGCATGGAAGAACTTTGAAGACATTATGCTGAGTGAAATAAGCCAGTCACAAAAAGACTAGATGAGCCCACTTGCATGAGACAGGAGATACTTAGTCAAAACCGTAGAGACAGAAAGTAGGACAGGAAGTGCCAGGGGCTGGGGTAAGGGATTAACAGGGAGTTTGTGTTTCATGGGTACAGAGTTTCAGTTTTACAAGATGAAACGAGTTGTGGAGATGGATGGTGGTGATGGCTGCACAACGTTACAAATGTGTTTAACTCTGCTGAACTATATACTTAAAAATGGTTAAAATGGTAAGAGTTTATGTTACACAAACATAATATGTTTGTTTTATCACAATAAAAAAAGAAAAGACAAAGAGAAATCACCATTAACAGCTCAATTTCTGCAGTTTAGGCAACTACGCTTAGGAATATTCCTCAGATCCCAGAGGGAACATTGGGTCACCTGAGTTGGCTGCAGACACTTTGTGGAATTCAGCAGATCTGGGGTCAGGATCTTATGCTGGAGCCTTGGCAAATTTCTAAGCTTTGATTTCTCCAACTATAAAATAAGAATAATAAGGCCTCTGGGGTCTGTGGGGTTGAAATGGCTTATAAAGCAGCTAGCACAGTGTCTGGTATGAAATAGGCACTCAACAAAATAGTGGCTAACAACAACAGTGGCAATAAAACACTCAGGGGAATCCAGAGGTCCTTTCTGGATTCCTATTTGTTGTAACCATGTATCCTGCACAAGACCTGGTTTTTGTGCGAAGAATGAAGAGCCCCAGGTCTTTCCTTAGAAGACAGAGCCTTGCTTGGTCAGGAACATGAAAAGTTCCCCAGTTGGTCCCTAATGGGGCCTCTGAGCGGGGATCAGAAGGGTCTTTCTGAGATTTCAATAGTAAAAACAGATCGTACTCACCCAGTGGTGCTGTGCTGGGTCCATGCCCACTCATGGAATGTCCTCGCTCTGGCATCTTGCTGCTGGTTCCTTTGAGAGGCACAGAGGTAGGGGGGTGGTAGAGCCAGGATCTGAGTCTTTGTCTTGTCTCTGGCCCAGGGAACGGGTGGCACACTCATCCGACACTTCGAAGACACAGCGTAAGGCAGAACGTAGATATGGAAGGGTGAGCAGGGTTAAGAGAACCAGTAGGTGGTGAGATGTCCAAAGACTAGTGGGAACTCTTACCCTATGCTTGACGGGCCAAACAAAATATCGCCTGATCCCTGTTGAGTGCTGAAGGTAGAAGGATCCAGCTGCTGCTAGAACTTCCACAGGGCAGAAGGAGAGCAGGAACAGAAGTCCTCTGATCTCCTACCAGTGCCTTAACCCAACAAGAAGCAGCAGCAGCAGCTGGAGTCCAGTTGATGTAGCCAATAGGTATCAGCTTCCTGGGAATCAGAGTGGGTCTGGGGGACCATGGTTAATAATCACTCAGCTGTTACATCAGACTACTTCTCCTCCTCCTCCTCCTCCTCCTCCTCCTCCTTCTTCTTCTTCTTCGTCACTAGGTTCTTACCTGGTCTGTGCAGATAGTCAGAAAATTGGGAGTCAGAGTAAGTATACCTTAGAGTTCTTTATGCACATGGAGAGAGTTAGAATGATGCTTTTCCAGCAGTTTGAGAGCCTCATGTGCATCTGTTGGTTCTGGATTCATGGGCTCTGAAATTCTCAGTGTGGAAGAGAGGGAATGGCCTTTTGAGCAGACTTGGGGGGAAACTGTGTCACCAGCCTCCTAGCTCTATAGCAAGCATGGCTGTGGTGACCTCAAGGTGACCTGAGGCAGGGATCAGAGGGCTCTTAGTTCTGTAAACCAATGAAATACAAATAAGTCATATTCTCTGAATAAAGAAAGAAGAACCAGATCAACACTGGTCAAGGTTAAGATTCTTGTTTATTTGGGGGTGCTGGGTGGCTTAGTTGGTTAAGCTTCTGACTTTTGCTTAGGTCATGATCTCGCGGTTCGTGGGTTCGAGCCCCGCGTCAGGCTCTGTGCTGACTGCCAGCTCAGAGCCTGGAGCCTGTTTCAGAGTCTGTGACTCCCTCTCTCTCTCTGACCCTCCCCTGCTCACGCTGTCTCTCTCTCTCCTGGAAATAAATAAAATATTTTTTAAAAAAAGATTCTTGTTTATTTGTACTCTGAAGGTCTACAGCTGAGTTGGGGGTTACACCATAGAAGCTGAACGTTAGATTTATTCTAAGAACCTCTCTTCCCTTGCATGGATGGCAATATTCAGCTAAATGAAAACATGAGGAAAAGTGTGGTTGGAGAGAATTGCTGTCAGAGCAAGAAGACAGGAAATGTTTATCAACCAGCCTCAGGTTACATTGATGACTCCCCTTCTAACTAACTCCCTTACTTATCTGTGATGGGATTTTTTCAGTTGATGACTTCCCTTCTAACTAACTCCTTTACTTTTATCTGTGTTGGGATTTGTTCAGTTGACACTTTTAGAAGATACATTCTTGCCTTCTTTTCAACACAGATGCTTTGGTTGGTTGCGGTTTCAATGTTTTTCATGCTTCCGGTGACCTACTAAAATAGATTAGTGAGTTCTAGGATTTTACATATTCAGTATGGATTAAAAACAGTGATCTGGACTAATGTGATACCCCTAGAAAAAGCACCATTATATACATTCCTACATGCTCTGCTCATGTTTCCGTAATAAAAACCATACAAATTATTTCCAC